CTCCCTCCCTCCCTCCCCCCTTCTGTGCTTTCCTCCAAATAGCAAGGTGTATTAAATGTTGAACCTCCCAAAGGTAGTATGTGTTGTGCTAATCTGCAAAGTGATAACCACTAGCGCACATGCATAACAGAAAGTAGGACATAACCGCCTGGCTGCTTATGCTCAGCTGCAGGCAACTGTAATCGAGGAGTTGCTTGTAGCAGTTCTAGTTGAGAACACTGCACAGCCCTTGATAAGTGGTACGGATCTTTGGCCATTGTCCTACCCACCCCTCAACTCCCTTCCTTCATTCCTACCCAAGTAATCGGTTAGAAAATGTCAGAGTGTTTAATAAATAAATTTAATAAATAATTAAAATAAATTAAATAATTTAATTAAAAAAAAAAAAAAGAAGATGACACAGGTTTCCAGAGGTCTACTGAACGCTGGGTTATGGACACAAATCTGGTGTGAAGCAAACAAACAGCCAAGGTTTGATCTCGGTTGCCCACAATGGAAAAGATTGTTGGGGCATAACTTACATATTTCTATTATTTCATGGCTGTCAATCATGTAGAGTTGTTATGATTCTGGTTGTCTGCTGTCGAAAGACCAACACTCACTCACATGAACTCCCAGGTATGCCCATATATACACAGAAGGAAGGGGAGAGGATAGGAGTATCACACCGCACAGGGAGAGATAAACACAGTGGAAGACTTGACCATGCGATATGACAGGGTACACTGAAAGTGCAATTCAGTCCACTCAATCCTCACAACCAGTCATAAAGGAAAGCCGAGTAGATCACATCCAAGAAACAATGAAACGATGATAGTCCAAACACAGTATTACACTGTTTATTAAACTCAGAATCTCGAATTGTCAGAATAACTTCAGACATGTAGTGCGCTGCTCAGAAAGGAGCATCGCTTCACTCCCCAACCCTGAGTAACCACTCGTTACACCCCTGAGTCCCTGAAACATCAGGCGCCACCCAATTACGGCCTCCCGAGGGCAGCGCCACCCTGAAACAGGCCTCTGAGGCCAAGCGCCACTCAGAGGGTGAAGAAGAAGACCAACGCCACAGTATCTGATGATGACGAAGTGTTGAAAGACTTCCCGGGTGGAAGTCTGCAGCAGCGCCACCAAACCCTGACAAGATGACCTCTGAGGAAGAAGCTGCAGCTATGGCTGCAGCGCCACAACCCTGGGTCCAACAGGGCACCAACTTCTCTCGCCTCCAGCAGACCTCGATAGCCCAGACCTCTGACAGCCCCGCGTGCTGGCAGAGTACAGCGCAGGTCCCACCTATGGCCGGCGCTCCGAAGGTCTGGCTATGTCTGTCTCCCACGACGCTGAGCCGTCACCACTTCCGGTTCACGCGTAGCGCAGCAGCGATGTACTCAGTACCAACTGCCAAAAGCCCTGAACCGATGTGCCCATCCTATCTATAGACTGAACTAGCCTAGACTTGACCTAGACCGGACTGACTGACCGACCGGTACCGATTCTGTTTCGGCCTCTCGGCCTCGACCTTACCCGGCTATAGGCTATAGGACCGTCTATCAGCATAGGCCTTTAGGGCCTGTCTGCCCTAGGGGTAGCCCGGGCCTGCTGTTCACAGTTAGGGTAGCAGTAGGAAATTCAGTTAGTGCTGGGCCTATATTTTCCCAAATTTGCAGATATGTCCCTCGCGAATTTCCCCTACAGGTAGGTCTCTCGGTTAGCCCTCAGTCAAACAAAATGACGAATCTATCCTACCTATGGTACAGCCTCGGCAGAGAGAGGCTACAGGCGACCAGAAACAGCAAGTCGTTGCAGAGTCGTCCAGAAGCTTCCATTGCACCAACATCAGATGAGTTCAACTGAAGTCTGAGGACTCTGTTTTTTTCTGTGGTATTTGCTTTTGATCTTTTCTTGCGGGTGTTTCAATGTCTGAGTGTTTTTGGCTTGCACTTGAACGTATGCGAGTCCTTCGGCTAAGTCCTGAGTGGATAGCATATGTCTGAGTATTCACCCTGTGTGCGCTTGCCATTGTGCTGTCTCAGGAGGGACAGAATTGCAACTAGTGGTAGGATGGCAGAATTTCGCAGTAGGACCTACTGCTAAAAGTAGGACAGAGAGGGCTACAACAAATCAGTGATCATACGAAATGAAGAGGTGCATGCCACACATGGAGAGGTCCAGTCACTAAGTTCCGCCCTGTTTTCCAGATGCATACCTTGCTTACTTGGCTATGCCGAATCCTGTCATGGATAACTGGTCACACTTGTACATCCAGCCGAAGCCCGTTCATCTACCATCTCTCTCTCTCTCTCTTCTCTCTCTCTCTCTCTCTCTCTCTCTC